GAAGTGAAGAAGAGCAGAAGCAGTGGCACGTAGAGAACGAATGTACATAGAATGCGACACGGAAAAAGCGTTTCTAGCGTCAACAAACTGTTTCATGTAGCGCTTCCTTGCTTTGCATCTTAACACTGTTTCTTCTATCTCTATTCTTGAATGACAGCAACCCATATTGGTGATGTGAATAAAGTTTGTATCTTTGGATGAGAAAATGGTGGGTAAGTGAAAGTGAAAGAGAAACAAAGCAATGGGTAGCTAAACAGACATACAAGGAATGACTGAATGAGTAAGTAGATGTCCCTTTGAAATTGTCAATCAATGACCCCATTGGGGTTGGCACAAAAAACCATTTTGGTAACTAGTGACACCCTCTCTAACCACAACGCCAAATTCAAATTAAATTCCATAATTAAGCAGCAGTCACTTCCAGTTTTTTGGTTAATATTTCGGGAAAATGCATAAACTTCACTACAACTTTATGCCATTAGTTAATATTTTTAAGGTAGATTTTGTTAGTCATTAGCCTAAGGTATAATATTTTTTTATAGTCTTAAGATATGATTCATATATTAATTATAAATTTATAATACAAATGAATAATCAATGATATATTAATCATGTAGATTATTTTACACTAACTGAAAAAACATCCAAATTTTTGTTGGATTTATTCAAGTGTGAAGTTAGATATGCGGGAAGAGTAAAAAAGTTTATAAGTAGAAAAGACTCGTAGAACTAATGTCTTAAGGTTTTGGATATTCAAGACGTAGTCCATCACTTGTGACTTTGCACTCTTCCCATATCCCGGTAACAATAGAACTCCACGGTGGTTGGAGGCTCATCAGTCGCAATCTGATCCAACAATTTTATAGGTCTTAAAATTTTATATGTTTTGATATATTATTTTGAGTATGATCTCAGAAATTAATATAAGTTATGTATGTCGAAAAGACTTTACAAAACTTTATTTATCTGATTTCTACCCCTCTAACTCTATACACGGTCATTATTTTTTGTCACATGACCAATAAAACACATGTTACTCATACATTTACATGGTTAAAAATACATATGTTATATGTACATTTGTATTGTTAAGAACAAACATGTAACCAATATATTTTAATAGTTAAAAACACATATGTTACTCGTAAATGAGATGAATGAAGTAGAGAGAAAATGACTAAAGTATCTCCAACAATATTAAATATATACATATAGAAATATATCATAAAATTTACATTAGAATGATATTAAAAAAGTCATTATCTAACGACAAAGTTGCCATTGAAAAATCCAAGTGTCAAACATAAGGTATTCCTTTTAGTAATTATTATTTCATCTCTGTTATTATGTTAGCCTATGAATTTTGGACGGAAAAAAATGAATGTGGTTGTGACTCATGTGATGAATTTTTTCTTATATATAGTATATATATTAAATGTTATTATTATTATATCATAATAAATAATATATTGGGTAATGAACAATGATTATGAGTAAATTTTTATCCATAGTGGAAGGTTGTACAAAGTGAAGTGTTTTTATCATGTGTGGAATGTTGTTCTTAACCATAATTTTTTGTTGTATGGTTAAGAACACATATTAAGAATATGTGACCAAATGAAGTGAAATCAAATGTTTAGAATAAATGAATTTTGTTTTTGTCAAATGATTCGTGTCCATGATAGAATATAGATTTAATACAATGTGTGAGGGTACATAATAAGAATATGAACCAATTTTGGAGGGAAAAAATTTAAGGAGAAGTTAACATGTGTCCATGATGATGTGACAAAAACATTTTTTTTCTTATATATAATAGATATATACATCATTGTTTAATTTGAATTTATAATATTAAATTCTTCTCTAACACTATAATTTGTATTTCAAAATATTAATTTATAAATCATGGTTATATTCCTAACTTATAACATATTAAGTTTTTTTTTTTTTTAAATTTACATCTTACTATCTTATCAATTTCTGAAAAGCAAGAGACATTATTTATATTATTTTTTTAAGAATCAATAACAATTAAATATAAATGATAGATAATGTGTAATTCAGGAGTGTTTTTTTCCTCAAATTAAAATAGGTGGTCACCTTAGGACCTAATGATCTCCTTGTGCAAGGAAGACACAAAAAATCGATATCCTTTTCTTGGTGGTTCAGCAAAGCATTACTTACATTACATGCCACCAATATTACCAATCTACCATCTACAATTCTCTTCTCTCTCTCTCTTTATATACCTCACTCGCAAAATGCTCTATGCACTTCCTCCTAAGTCCTAATTGAAGTCTCTTAGGTTGCACTTTGATCATGGCCAAACCTGTGGTTGACAAAGACTATCTCAAAGAAATTGACAAGGCACGACGTCACCTTCGAGCTCTTATCTCTTCAAGAAATTGTGCTCCTCTCATGCTTCGATTAGCGTTAGTAACACTATAATAATCTGCATTTATTTCTTTCTCTCTATATCTTCTTTTCCAATTACTAAAATATAATTAATATATGATGCATATGTTATCATATTTATTTTACTTACATAAGACTATTAACTTGTAGGTGGCACGATGCTGGTACTTATGATGATAAAACTAAAACAGGAGGTCCTAATGGTTCTATCAGGAATGTACAAGAGTTGAATCATAGTGCTAACAAGGGCTTACAAAAAGCAGTTCAATTCTGTGGTCACCATTCTTCTTTATTTCTCTCTGTGTGTATTATTCATATTTGTTTTTCTCCATGCCTAACTGCTCCCCTTTTTCGATCGAGAACAGAAGAAGTGAAAACCAAACATCCAAAAGTTTCATATGCCGACCTTTACCAGGTTATTTATTCTATACTTTTGGCATATAATATAGGGAAATTGAAGAGTTTTATATGTTGAGTCATAGATTAACTTGTAGTATATATAATTTGATGCTGGATTTATATTTCAGCTAGCTGGTGTTGTTGCAGTTGAGGTCACTGGGGGTCCAACAATTGACTTTATTCCTGGGAGAAAGGTATTATATCATTCATCTAAAAGTTTTGTGAGGCTTCGTTCTTATATGCTTAGGTTTCAATATGCATATCTAGATTTATATATTCTACTCTTTTTTCTTTCTTAGGATTCACTGGATTCTCCACCAGAAGGGAGACTTCCAGATGCCAAACAAGGTAATTGATAATTGTATCTTCTGTTTTTTTTTTACTATCTTGGGATCTCTATTTCAATCCTTAGTTAGGCATTGCTGTTAATGCTGTTCAATGTTATCATCTGACAACAATTGATTTTCCTATCTGCCTAGCTAGCATGTGAATAATTTATTACATTGAATGCTGTTAACCTTTACTCCTATTTTGAGCTAAGTACATATATATCATGTAAGAAAGGAAACATCTAAAGAGATTAAAGATAATTGTCCAACTTGTATGAAAAAATTACAGGTGCATCACATTTAAGGGATATCTTTTTTCGCATGGGTCTAACTGATAAAGACATTGTGGCTCTGTCTGGAGGGCACACATTGGTAAGAACTATATATGAATGAACATTCAAAAATCAAAAGTCCCTTTACATATATAGTTAAAAAATTCATATATTTAATCTCGTAGTTTCCTTTTGATAAAGGGTAAGGCACATCTAGAACGCTCAGGCTTTGATGGTCAATGGACAAGGGACCCTTTGAAGTTTGATAACTCATATTTTGTGTAAGATAATTATTCACATGATATTTAAGTGTATGCTTATTTAAAAGAGTGAATAAATTGAAATTTCACACATACTAGGGAACTATTAAAAGCTGATTCAAAAGACTTGTTGAAGCTTCCCACAGACAAGGCTTTAGTTGAAGATCCTAAGTTCCGCCAATATGTTGAACTGTATGCAACGGTAATGACCAGTATAATTTGAAACATTAACTGGTGTTAGATTTGCTTCCAGTTTCTAATATTACATTTTTTGTGATGAAAGTGATGGGGAAAAAATGATTTTGGACTCACTGCTAATTATGAATTGTTGTAGGATGAGGATATATTTTTGAAAGATTATGCAGTCTCACACAAGAAACTGTCACAGTTGGGCTTCATTTTAAAGACTCGTTCCACATTGGCTCAAGGAGCTATAGCAATTGTTATTGCCACAACTGTGGTGATCCTGGGTTACTTGCTTGAAGTGAACAAAAAAACGAAGTGAAGAGATTATTGCTTAATTGTTATTATTAATGTACTTATCTACAATGGAAATAAATGTATGCACGGTGAAGAAAAATAAACCAAATCTTAACGTGAAAAACCTCCACCCCCTTATATCCTGGACATTCCTGGTTTCACAGCAAATCATTTGGATAAATATAAGGACAATCCCTTCTGTGACTGTCATCTTTTCAGTGACGGGGGATTTTATTTATATAATTTTAAAAATAAGGAATAAATGAAATAACCTAATTACAATAATAATTCCTTTTGGACATCAATTAGAAATTAATAAAATCCTTAGGTACATGGTATAATATGGACACGATTGATAATGCCTAACAATAAGAGCATTTTTACAACTTACAATATGGCAAGCCATACACAAAAGTGATAAATGTTTTTTTTGGTTATCCAAAAGTGATAACATTGCTAATGGACTTAACCATAAAAGAAAATTTGCATAAGGGGTAATACACTTCAGTTAAACATAACTTCAAATCATTACTCTACGATGTTTTCGTTGTCTTTTCTATCTAAAATGAAATTCAATTGTTCCCAAAATTTGGTTCAGAGTAATATACAGTTTTCTTTGAAATACAAGAGTGTTTTCAGTTTATATTATTATTTGTTATAAAATGTAATTTCCATTTTCATTTTTGTATGAATTTGGAAATATGTACTATCTTAATAGTATTTTCATTTTTTCCTTTCCAACACTGATTCCATAGGGCATTCTTGACCAATGTCTTTCCCATCACACTTCAATTTATCATCCTATTATTTACCCTTTCCAATTACACAGAATGAAAGTGAATCGTCTTATATATATATCGGTCTTCCGAACCTTAATAACATCTGGCCCATTAGCTCAGCTGGTTAGAGCGTCGTGCTAATAACGCGAAGGTCGCAGGTTCGAGACCTGCATGGGCCAAAATTAATTATTTTTGTTTTCATTTAAATAAACTTACTGTAACCATGTATCTTAGCATAGGACACTGCAGGAAATTTTACACAGGCTCGATATTGAATGGAATGCCAATAGCCAAGTTTTTTCAATAAAAAAGGAAAGATTAATTGATTACAAGTCATAGCATATCAACCGTGATATATGCTAAAAAATTAATTCTTAATGAAAGTGAAGTCGTTTTCTTCTATTTCATGGTTGTAGGATAAGTGTATGATAACGATATAATGTATTTGTAGTCAGAAGAGGAAATAACCACTTCTGAATGTTTGCATTCTTTCATAATCAAAATTAAAAGTACATGCTTTACTTAGTTAAATTAGGCAAAATGTAAATAGAAGTTGGTAACGAGTATTGGATAACACATATGTGAACCTATGATTTCTGATGTTAATATGTTATAAACTCTATACATTTGTAGGCTTCCAAAGCAACCCTTTGTTAGCTCGGACTTTAAGTGAGAAGTCAACATTCTCTTTTAGTGAGTGCAAGAATGGTATACACCATTTTCTTGAAGTCAATTGGCTTTGTTAAATAAGCATCCATACCCACTTCCAAGCATTTGGCTTCATCACATGACATTGCATGTGCTGTAAGAGCAACAATGGGAATGTGCAATCCTGTTCCCACTTCTGATTTCCTTATTGCCTTTGTTGCTTCATAACCATCCATCTTTGGCATCTTGTTTTTTTAACAAAGACAAAGAATAAGAACATCTAGGCTAAGAATAAATAATAAACTCATTACTTATAGTGAAAGAGAAAATTACCTGACAATCCATTAGGACCAAGTCATATGAAGGGCTAGTCAAAATATCTTTTTGAGATCTTGTGTTTCTTTCTTTCTGGAGAGATTCCCTTCTACAATCTTCAACACCTAGTTTGAAATTGAGTGCATCTACTGCTTGTTGTCCATCACCTACAGCAACAACAGCAGCTCCCATCTTTTCAAGCATTATGGTTGCTACCCTTTGAAGAACTGGTGTATCTTCTGCAAGCAATATCTTTAACCCTTCAAGGGATTTCTTTCCATTTACCACTTTATTTGAACTACTCACCTTATTTGTTTCACCACATTCAGATTCTCTAACTTCAGGTTCTGTTGGAAATGATATTTCTTTACATGACAGTGGTTTAAGTTCAATATCTTCACTGGCATTATTTGAATTTGGGCTGCTATAACATGACTCTTCTTTCCTCAAATTATTATCTACACTGGCACTTGCAGGATTGGAACCACTCATTTCAGATATGTCAGAACCATCAGATGTAGCAGCATCAAAATGTGTAGAATCAATCTCAAGAAACTCATGCAAATCATCCTTTTTCATTGTTGTCCTTGGATCACTCATGTGTTTCTTTTGTAGCTCAAGATTCCTCTCCTTTATGACAGCTTCCAAAATATGAACAATTTTTGCCTTGTAGAGAGGTTTGTTGACCATGACTACATGCCCTTTTCTTCTGAGCTCCATCTTTATGGTATTGGAAGTGTCATGATTTAGCATCCATACAAACTTTGCTTTAACAAAGTACTTATAAAGGAAGTTAAGTTGTTCCTTCCAAATATCTGTGCTCAAGTCAAGTATGTCAATGTCTACAACAATGACAAAATTGGGGTTTCTCATATCTTGTATGTGAAGTAATTTAGACTTCAATCCCTCATTTACTTGATAATGTGCATCAAAGTCATTATTATGAACTGAACTTCTTGCATGAAAGAGTTCCCTCAAAATATGTGTTAGTCCATTCCATTCTGATGCTTCCATAGTACAAACTCCGTTTTTCTGTAACCACTTGGACGCAATAAATCGACCCATGTTTCCGTGCAGTGCAAGCAGTACCTGCATTGACATTTCTTATTTAAGAGTGTGCTTATTATCCTTACAGTGATTTTCTGTACCAATGTATGCTTAGAGCCTAACTAACATGTCCATAAATAGACTTGCTTTTAGTAAAATGTACATTTTTACTAGATGGATTAATTGTGCTTTCAAATTTTATTTGGCAAGTGGAGTGATTTTACTTACCACTAAGCCATTGTTTGTCAAATCTATTGCACAATGTTGTTCTGTGACATCTATAGGTGCACTGAGAAGCAAGCACAACCTCATCAGTGTTCCTGGGCCCTCCTTTTTGACAACCATGATTTCTCCACCCATCTTTTTAACCTGCCACCCCACAGTAGTAATGAGATCAAAGCAAATTCTTCATTCAAGACAGGAAACTCACAATTTATTTTAAATGAGAAACACATACAAAAGGAATTGATAAACCTTGAGATGAATCCTTCTAAAATAAATGACATGCTCAGACTTTTTTTATTACTTTAGTAGTTTTCAACAAGCAGCTGACATAAGCTTCACCTATGTATATGGTATATTTACTTGTTTGTTCTTGGCAGACACAATTTTGTTTTTCATCAAACACATTCATTAGGAGTGCTGATTGTACTCGTGTGAAACCTTACACATTAAGGCTCTTACCATGTTTCTGACAATGCAAAGACCAAGACCAGTGCCTCCGTGCCTGAAATGAGTAAAGGTCTCAGAAACTCCATAAATATTCAGCTCAAAACATAACCATCATTTGTCAAAAAGACATTTTTAGAGGACCTTTATCTTGTCTTTGTTAAAAATTTAAATTACTTACAGTCTAGTAGTTGATGGATCAGCTTGCTCAAAGCTTTCAAACACTGAATCCCATTTACTTGGGTCAATCCCTATAAAATATCACATACAAAGGAAGCAAATCATAGTGATTTATCCTTAGAATAATTTTTATTTTGACACAAAAGGGATGGTTCTTAATGCAGTTTTTCCAAACAAGTTATTAGGTTCATACCACAGCCTGTGTCATCAACTTCAAACCAAAGTTTCACTTTGATATCTTTCTTTGATATTCTCTTTGCATGGTTTGCATTTTGCTTCTCTCTGGAGTTTTGTACACAACATGATTTCTTCTCCTCTAGAGGAAAACTTAGATTGTCACTGTATGGGATTTCACACCATCCCCGCAGCATAATGTGACCCGCTGTAAGACATTTGAAATAGTTTAGATGAATATATGTGTCATTTCCAATGAGCCAATCATGAATATTTGAGACATTCTTCTTATATTTCAAGCAGGTGAGCTATTTCATATCTTTTTATCACTACCACTACTGTAACAAAAAACTAGAACATACAGATTTTTACTTACATGGAGTAAACTTAATTGAATTATTGATCAAATTTGTAAAAATTTGAACTACTCTAGCAGAATCCCCTCGGACTACGTTTGGTATATCATCTGCAGGAAAAATAGTGATAGACTAAATTCATCAAAAACTTGCTAAAAGATTTTCTAATCATGCACTGAAATTAAAATATCTCATGCAACCAAAATGAGATTCATATCATACCATACCATACCTGACAGGTCTAAAACAGTCTCTACATTGTGGTTAATGCACTGCACAGAAAACATATCTACAAGGCCTTCAAGTTCCCTTCCCAGGTCAAATTCTGCATCTTCTAGGACCAGTTTTCCAGATTCCACCTAAATTCTATAGAACATTAAGGAGCTTCTTGGCAGAGGTGAACTTTTGTTACAGTTAAAAAAAACTTGGATTTGGTTTTCAGTAGAAGGTTCTAAGCATAAAATTAAACACTCATAGATAAAAAAAAGTTAAGAGTGTAAGTTAAATACTTATATAAGTATATAAATTTAGATACAAATACGTTATATAAAACTAAAAATTCTTGAACAAAAAGTTCAGCTGTAAGTTATATATATTTCACCTTGCTCAGATCCAAGATGTTGTTAAGAAGACGGAGCAGAGCAGTTGAGCATTTCCTTATTTGAGTGACTGTTGCATATTGTTCATTTGTTAGACAGTCATCAGATATAAGAATGTCTAGCAATCCGATTACTGCGGCCATAGGTGTCCTCAGTTCGTGACTGTAATGCACCAACAAAACAAATTCATGAATAACATTTATGAACACTCAATGGAAAGATCTTCTTAGACACATGAACCAAATGGCAAGATAGGTCATTTGAGGATCTTGTTTGCTGTGTTATAAATAGAATCTAGACCAATCAACATGTTTCAAAACATAATCAGTTTATGAAATCCATAGATTATGTAAATGTAGTTTCCTCATATTCATATAAGCCATGGATCAACTAATGGATATAATGTTCCTTGTTACCTAAGTTCTAAAGTGAGATCATAAATTGCATAAATCAAGTCCATGTTTTATGTATTTCCAAATTTGAAGCTGTAAAAACCAACCTCATGTTTGCAAGAAATTGACTTTTATAGTTGCTTGATGCCTCTGCCTTCCTTCTTGCTTCCAGTTGATTTATAAGTTCTGCTCTTAGATTCATTTCCTTTGATACTCCATTTGTCAATATCAAAATGCAAACACATCCAATGACTAGAATACATAATGCGGCAGATATCAGAATAACCAACGTTTTGAAGGCTCTTTCATCTACCTGCCCCATGATATACTTTCTTGGTATGATGATTACACCTACCTGCACAAAGATTAAGTCACTCATTCAAAGACACTCAAAGGTATAATATGATAGTCAGTGTCTTCAAATTTTACCAAAGGAAGTCTCTTCAAGTTTAGGAAGAATGAGTCAATGTAATATTGCTGGTGGCCTAGCTTGACATTCTCTACATGAACCTCATCGCCCGCAGGAAAATTGTCACCATAAGTTCTCTGTAACCACTCAGCTCCGAGTCGTATTACATCATCTTCACAATCAACAGGCATCTTAAGCTTAAGAGACTTTGTTGAATTTGTGAGTAGAGGTGAACTTGTGGAAGTTGCAAGCAAGTAACCCTCTTGAGAAGTCAAATACATATGACCACTGTGCAACTCAACTAGTTCTCTCATTAACTGTCCTACACTATAAAGTGCAGTTGTGACACCAACAACTGCTATAATACTCTTATTAGAAGAGTCCCAAACTGGCAATGCTG